CGGCCACGGGGCGTTCTGAAGGAAATATGCCCTAGAGGCAATAATAAAGTTATTATTTATTTCCTCATATCATGATAAATGTTTATTATTCCTGCTATAATTGTATTAACCGGAAACATGATACATGTGTGAATACATAGACAAACATAAAGTCACTAGTATGCCTCTACTTGACTAGCTCATTAATCAAAGATGGTTATGTTTCCTAACCATAGACATGTGTTGTCATTTGATTAACGGGATCACATCATTAGGAGAATAATGTGTTTGACTTGACCCATTCTGTTAGCCTAGCACTTGATAGTTTAGTATGTTGCTATTGCTTTCTTCATGACTTATACAAAGTTCCTACAACTATGAGATTATGCAACTCCCGTTTACCGGAGGAAAACTTTGTGTGCTACCAAACGTCACAACGTAACTGTGTGATTATAAAGGAGCTCTACGACTAAGGAACGATTACGAAGATCAACTTGTGTGTCTAGAGGTGCCCCCTGCACCTCTAGACACACAAGTTGATCTTCGTGATCGTTCCTTAGCCGTGTGCGGTGCCCCCCTCCACCGTATTCCACCTCGGTCATATCATAGCGGTGCTTAGGCGAAGCCCTGCATCGGTAGAACATCATCACCGTCACCACGCCGTCGTGCTGACGGAACTCATCCCCGACACCCTGCTGGATCGGTGTCCGGGGATCGTCATCGAGCTGAACGTGTGCTGAACTCGGAGGTGCCGTACGTTCGGTACTTGGATCGGTCGGATCGTGAAGACGTATGACTACATCAACCGCGTTGTCATAACGCTTCCGCTTTCGGTCTACGAGGGTACGTGGACAACACTCTCCCCTCTCGTTGCTATGCATCACCATGATCTTGCGTGTGCGTAGGAATTTTTTTTGAAATTACTACGTTCCCCAACACGTTCACGCCGGCCGCTGGACGGCTTCATGCGTGATCAGGTCGGCGTCGACTTGGACGGCTTCCCCCTCGACCACGAGTTCCCGGACGACTACGGGTGAGAGGAAGAGGACGAGTGCGACATCGACGTGGATCCTTTGTTCGAGGACGAGCTCGCCAACCAAGCCGCCGGTGCTAAGCCCAAGCGCAAGAGCAAGCGTACGAAGGAGTACACGGCGGCCGAGGTCAAGCTTCTTTGCGAGTGTTGGCGAGACATTGGACAAGACCCGAAGACGGGCGCCGAGCAAAAGCATTCGACCTTTTGGACTCGTGTGCACCGAGAGTTCCATGAGCGCAAGAAGTTTCCACCTTACCAATTTGTGAGCACGCGCGGGTGGGTCTCCATTTCCAAACGGTGGAGGGTGATCCAACAAGAGTGCAACAAGTTTTGCGCCACCCTTGAGAGCGTCAAGGCCCGCCCCATGAGCGGCATCGGCATGCACGACATAGTATGATAGCAAGCAAGCTACCCTCTTTTGTGTCATCAAGATCATCCTTGCTATCACTTGCCCATATGCTTGCATGGAAACATTTTGTAGGCATTTCAAGCTTGGGAGGCATTCAAGGTTCAACACAATGGCAAGTGCTTCAACCTCTCTCATTGCTATCGGGTCATCAAGGACGAAGAGAAGTTCAAGGCACAATATGCCGCACTCAAGGCACGCAGGGGAAAGAAAGCCGTGGAGGATGTTGGGGAGGGCGAGCCGGCACGACCGCGGGGGAAGACCAACTCCAAGAAGGAGGACAAGCGAGATGCAGCCACCAACGCCTTGATCGCAAGCGTGGATGACATGATGAATAAGAAGGACTCAAGGTTGGAGGAGCGCCAGCGTTTCAAGGCGGAGCAAATGGATGCTTTCATGGAGATCCAAAGGAGGAGGCTTGATCTTGACGCCGAGAAGCAAGCCAAGATGTTCGAGCTCGAGGCGGAGAAGCAAGCCAAGATGCTAAAGATCGAGGCCGCCAACGCCAAGACCAAGGCGAAAGAAGTGGCTCTTGCGAGCATGATGACCGGGGTGGAGATCATGAAGGTGGATCTCAACACTGTGTCGCCAAGGAAGAGGCCATGGTTCGAGAAGATGCAGGCCGACATGCTCAAGTTCGCCGACGAGTGATCTATGGCGGCAAGGGCCATCTTTTTTGTATGCCGACAGGTGTGCCAGCATGACCACAGGAGCCGAGATGGCGTGGTCGAACTCAAGTCCCACCCTTTTTTGGGAACCGGCTCCTCTACCGTGCAGCGGGCACGGTAGGCATGCTACAGTACCCCGGAAGAGTGTAAATACAGAAAGCACGACAGGGTGAACCGTAGCCGAAAATACTGTTTGCATACTGTAGCGGAATGTACTGTTTCGGTTCTGTAGCATTTGCACTGTTTGCGCACTGTAGCAAATAGATCTGAGCCCTTTATACTGCATCTAACAGCTGATAGATGCCCAAAGGCAGGGCACTGTAGCATCCCTGCCGTGCTCACTGCACGGTAGAGGAGCCGGTTCCCCTTTTTTGTGTGCTGGCATGTGCGCCGGCCGGCTGGCGAGGGCGCCAACATGAACTGTGTTGATTTTTTCTGAAGCCGGCATTGTACGTCGGCGCTGGCATGGTGCCGGCATGAGACATGGCCGCTGGCATAATCGGCGCGGGCCTTTTTATTTAAATGTTGAATGCGGGCATGAAATGGGTCGGCGCGTTGCCGACCCAAATGCAAAACTGGGCGAACGCCGGGCGGGCGGCCGACCCAAACGGACAAAAAGCGGACAAATGCACCGTCTATTTGGATCGGCCCGTTGGAGTTGCTCTAGACCCATTGCCAAAATCATCCCCAAATTGCAGGTTTTCTGGGGAGTACTCCGTCTTTTCTCTTCGTACAAGCTCCGCATCGGAGAGGCAAAGCAAAAGCGTCACGAGATCCAACCGCCGGCAGAGCCGGGGCAGCTGGGATCTCGAGCGCCAACGCGAGACCACCACGTGTGCCGCCACCAAGTGCCTGACATGTGGACCAGGCGTACGATTTGCCCGCGTGGCATGCATGGGGGACGCGTGCAGGCTTCTCGGTGCGGGCTGCGAGTAGAAAAAAAATATCTGGCGAAGGAGAAGATATGCAGTGAGCTCGCAGGCAGGATCACGTGCGTCTTCTTGTTATTCTTTTCTGCGGAGGCTGGGGCCTGAAAGAGTGAAAGTTTTCATTTTAAAATATAAAAAATGGAGCATTCGTAGCCACCCATAGTAGTACAGTGGAAGAACAAAGAGACAAACATATCGCTGCGATTGTGATTCGTTTCGTTCAGATATATTTCTTTTCTCCAGGAGAGTTTTGAGTCGCTGTACCGCACGTGTAATTTTGGGACAAAACAGCCGGTGCTTTCTTTCTGCCAACAATGATACTAGGAAAACACAAATGCTAAATATGGTCTACCGTGTTTTCAATCTATTTATTTTCAATCATAATAGTACAACGAACACCGAAAATAATAAAAATTACATTCAGATCCGTAAACCACCTAGCGACAACTACAAGCACCGAAGCGAGCCGAAGGCGGGCCACTATCTTCGCCCCTCCCTCGCTGAAGCCGAGCAAAACTTGTTGTAGTAAATAGTCAAAAAGTCGTCCTGCTAAGACCTCATAGGACCAACGCAACAAAACAACAACCGACGCCGATGAAGAGTAGCGTAGCAAACCCTTTATCATGGCAAATCTGAATTTTATTAGCCGGGAAACGATGAAACCTGCTAGAAATTATAGTAAAATGGTGAAGGGGATTCAGAGCTTAGGCCGCATCTGCTAGTACAGATAGTTTTGGAACCTGGTGGAAACGTATTGCCCGCGCACACAATACATACAACAAAAAACGCTGAAATGTGTGTTGAGATATACTAGTAGACAATCTGCAAAGAAGTTTGCACGGTACAAAAAAGCTTGCACAACGAGAAAAGGAACCGACTCAAAAAACAAGAGATTACGGAAACCGATCCATCGCTCACTAGGAAAGCGTAGCATTAGCATAACCAATGGCGTGCATGCGAAGGAAGAAGGGGGCAAGTGAAAGCTTTCCCACGAAAACCGTGACAAGGTACCTTTCTAACGCCAAAAGGAAGAAGATGAAGAATCCGTAACTCGAGTTGTCTTAAAAAGAAAAGAAAAGAAAACTCCCTCACAAAGAAAATCTCTCAAAGGCACGAGCCATTTTCTTGACAGCTGCTTTGCTTCCCGTCGCGTCCCTTCACACGCCCAATAATTTGTTTGAGGAGTATGCCGTTTGCATGAACGGCTGCTATTTTCCATCACGAGAAAAAAAAGTAAAGGTTGATAATTTGACGGTTCATAGAGGTCCTCAGTCGGAAAGATAATTTGACACCACAGCACACGGACCCGTGAGCCCGTCCGCCCATGTTACTGTACAGGACACGGCAAGGGTTTTCTACTCGTGAAAAGGAAGGTGCTGATGTTCGTTAACAAAATAGCCACCCATTTGTTTCCGGTAATATTACTGTGCTGATGTTCTCTCGAAGGTCATGGCAAAACAAACGATTTTTGTAGCAATTTATGTAGTCGCAAGGATGGCAAATTCCTTGAAGCACGACAAATCCTAGAAAAAACTAGACCGATGTGCCATACTCACTGACGAAAATTGCAACCCGCTGACAACACAATTTGCCATGCTCCCCAGCGAACGTTTGCTGGTTAAGCTGGTACTCGCTTCTCCTTTTTTTTTTCTTTCCTCCCAAACAGTTTAACTAGTTGATTCATGTGCACCGCTACAGTTTACATTAGCATCATATTTAGAGAGAGTTGTTCTTAGTTTACGCATATCGACCCGCCACCGCTACCGTAAAGGAGGTCTTCTTCCGACATCAAACGTCTGATGTTACTTACCATGCACCTAGTGCCAGACCAACCATAGATCTACTTACTGCACGTGCCTTGGTTATACCACCAATCCACCATCCCGAGGGGTCAAACTCCCGCTTAAACCGCCCCATAAGGTTAGTACTATTAGTACGTAGTTATGGACTTCCGCTGCCGGCGTGGTGTCAGTCATGCCATTCAGTCAGATCCATCCCACTCCCAGGGAAGAGGTGCTGGTGATGGGCATCCTGCGCTGTATCGCGCTGAGGCCGTGGTAGAACTCCAACTCGTCCGTCAGGCTCCTCCCCTTTCGTTGCCACTCGCGGAGTTCACCCATCAACCTGTCCGCCTGTTCAGCGGCGATTAGAGCACGTCAGCCTTTTGGAATCTAAGAGGATCAGGTGCCTCCATTTTCGACATTCAAAACACCAGAGCCATCTAGTACTAGGTAATTTTTTTTGTACTTCTAGATACTACTCTACATTTTACCTCCCCGCAAAAAATATAAAAAACTGCGTTTTACCAGCAACTTACCTTGCTTCGGAGAATCTGTCCTGCCGCCTCGAGCTCGGAACACCTTCACGGCATTTTTTTGGCAACAATCATTACACATGGTTTACAAGCAATGAACAAAACATATAACAAACTATTTTATCTTGTGAATCTAAAAGAAAGTGTATGGACCCAGCAAAAAGCAAATTGCAGGGATGACATATTTGTTTTAATTTTTACCATCTCTGTGATACAAACTACGAACTAAAAAAAGTGCCTCTACAGTCCACAACCCACGTCCAGTAAATCAAACAATCAGCCCTTAACCACACTTTATATCGTCGGATCATTGCTGAAACTAAACAGAGCAAACTACTGCCACAGAAGTATGTGAATATATAGCATCCTAGAAAGAAAAGCGCAGGTCTATCAAGAAAGAAAAATGAATCCAGATTTACAAGCTTTAGCTGACCCAGTGTATAACGGTGAACTGTACTTTTGGTCCCTATAATCTGCTATGAAGCTCAGTTTAGTTATCTACGTTCAAGTCGTACATTTTAGACATATATTCAAAGTTGCCTATCAACTTGTCACTGTTATTATATGGATGAACGAAAGATGAGATGACGCAACCATAGGTTACCTACATATGAGATAACATACTATTATAGAGCACTAATATCCAACACTACTAAGCCATAATCAACAAAGGATTAGATCCTTTTGCATCAAATATCAACTTTTTGTGTCAATTGACCAGAGTAATCACTTCTGCGTGTGGTCACTCAATGTTCTAAACAGCCATCGAACAAAAGGATCAACTAAGATGCAATGCTAAAACTTAATGGTAGACAATTTAAGCATGCGTGTTTGATTATACCCTACTTTACCGAACTATGCCTACGACTTAACAATTTATGCCATTATTTGGTTTGTCTACCAAGTTTGCCTTGCCCTATCGAACTTATCCATGCCTCGGTGTTGGTGCTTTGTAATACAAAGCGGGGGAAAACCCTTTTTCGGTAAGGAATCTCACAAGTAGTCCGGTCAAATCATGGGTGAGTAAATCCAGTCAATTTTTCATTCCCAAGCGTCCAACGTTGTTTCCCAATGACAAATAACAAGTGTCTGTCACGTTACCTTTCCAAATCATGCTTACTCTTGTGATTATGTTACTTAATGATGAAAATTGGTTTCACGTCTCATACTTAGAGAATTATAGATTAATTCATATGATAAACCGGCTAATGATACCAAACCGTTTGCTTACCTTGTTTATATATATAATAGTTGTAAAATTAAATATGCAAATAATGGTGATTGTTGTTTCAAATGTGGTATATGTAACCCAGACATAGAATTGAAAGTGGAATAAACAAAAGCTTGAAACATGCTAAGAAAGATTTCATTACTCACTCGGCCTTTAGCATCATGTTCTGACAAATTAAGAGACTGCTCCTTTCCTCTCCTATCTACAAAAGATACAATCAAAAAGTTAAAACTATTGATTATCATAAAAGTACTCCTAACAAATTTCTAACCTCAACAACATTGACACTTCCAAAGTGGTCAGCATCGCCATTTGTGTTGTGCCTTTTCTGGGCCCTCGTTTCAATCATCGAGCCAGAGTTTCTTCTTTTGCACAGTTCTGCTTGCAGTACACTAATCAGAAAAATATTAAGGGGATCCATCGAAGGGGGCAAAAGATATCTGAAACCAACCAGTTTGCTGCGGTGTGCTTGGCATATATAATGAAGTCCTCATATTTTTCCTTGCTAAAGGACATGCACCATAGTCCATTTGAGCCCTCAAGGCACCAATGTGCAAAGGATTTAATGAGTTACCTCCATTGAAACGGGAGTTCAATACTCCAGATGCTTTGGCTCTTGAGTTCCTGGCATAAGCTGTTGCTGTAGCTTGGGCTACTGAGCTATTATCATTGGTAGCAGCAATAGATGCATAATATGCTGGACGAAGAGATTTTGTGAGTGGCCGGTAGCCAACCAAATGAGCATGGTGCTTCCTGCCACAAATAGATGGTGGTTATGGTAGTCATCTTTTTTCCAAGAAAATAACAGTACATATATAAGAATGATAGGAAGATATCAAAGCATGCATGCAGTAAAAGAACAGGGAAGTGTGCATCTGGCTGGAAGGTGAACGTAATGTAAATATATCTGTAAATGACCAAAGGCTGGGAATACATCTGTAAGCACTTTCAGACCCATATATGACATACTGAACTTACCAATACTCCATTGCCATGTCTTTTAATCTCATCTCAAGTCTCTGAAAAAGTTCCGTCTTCTCAAAATCTTGCTTATCATGTGTAGGTTGTATAAAGTTCGCCTCCAAAACCCCTAGGAAATAATGTTTTATTCAATACTAAAAATACTCTGGTACTGAAATTATAGTGAAACCCAGCAACAAACTAAAAACTGCAATAGGAATTCATACCAGCAATGCCTCTGCCTCGACCTCTTTCAGAGCCTGCAGCCCAAAATGGCTGAACAAAGAAACTAATAGATTAAAATAATATGATATGCTAGTATTTAGCATGCTGCAAAGCATAAGTAAAAAAGGTGGCTGAACTACCACAGTGAATAACATTTTTGAATTTGTAATGTCAGAAATTCAGAATATCCATCTGGAAGGAAATTTTAGTCGAGGAAACACATTATAACAAAGATGATGAATCACCTTGGATAAGAGGGATCATCTAAAAACCCTATATGGTTTAAGCGAACATCTATAAAACCTGCCTGAAAGGTAAGTCCCAACAATGAGGATCCTTTAAGGTGTACCCTCGTTGTAATCAGCCCCTCTAGTAAGTTCTCAACTAATCTGTATTGGACATTAATATTGTCCATATAGTAACTAATCTGGAATTTGTACTTTTGTAATGCTTCTACTTAGCAATTGCATTATTATTATACAAGTTTCTTGTTTCCTGAAAAAACTTACAAGAACAAATACTATGCAACATATGACAAATTTAAAAGCAGTAGTGCATGTGGATGAATCTATTTTACCAGAATAAGACGGTTCCTATGGTAGACACTAAATCCATAGATATCCAGGTTTGGAGCACCTTTTAAGAAGCCAATTGAAGTAATGACATCAACCTGATTCAAAACAGACGCATTAGGTGCACTACATACTTTTCAATCATCTAAACTAATTGTACTTAGATGGATGCTATCTATATTTCAAACAAAGTTCCCTGAGCATTGTGCAATAACCTAGAATGACCAATGAAATGCTCACTGCCTAAAAGGAATGATGCTGCAGTTACTCATGTGCTTAAATGTCGTTTTAGAATGCATGCAGTCAACCATTACAACTTTGGCCACCAGTGTAACCAAAATATTTGGATTTTTGTATGCAAATGTTTCTGAAAGAACTTGTAAAGTGCAAGTGTTATTACCAGACTTGTCATAAAATATTTTTTGTCACATCGTACACCCTCCATCCCAAAATAAGTGTCTCAACCTTAGTACAACTTTACACTAAAGCTAGTACAAAGTTAGGACACTTATTTTGGGGCGGAGGGAGTATTCAATAGGTTTTATTAACATGTAATAGAATAAGTCATGGTCAAAATTGCATACTGGAGATCGTATCAATGCCAATACAAGTACTCCCCCCGTTCACTACTATAAAATGTTTTGGATATTTCAATATGGACTACATACGGACTGAAATGAGTAAACAAACACACTAAAATGCGTCTATATACATCCGATTAAGAAAAGTTAGAACATCTTATACTCCCTCCGATCCATAATAAGTGTCGCAGTTTTGAACTATGGTTGAACTAACCTTAGTTCACTAAGGTTAAACTAACCTTAGTTCAAAACTGCGACACTTATTTTGGATCGAAGGGAGTAATAGTGAGCGCAGGGAGTACAAAATAGTACACCTGGTAGTTAAGTTGCTCTGCAAAACTACCATTTTACTCCCTCCATTCCATAATGTACAGATTTTTTGAGAAGTCAAACCCTACAATCTTTGACCAATTTTTTGGAGAAAAACATTTATTTACAACTAGAATGCCAAACATATATTATTGGATTCATTATAATAAGTAGTTTCATATTTTATATATTTGGTATTTTAGCTGTAAATAGTTTTCTATATAAACTTGGTCAAAGTTTGCAAAGTTTGACTTTTCAAAAAAGCTATGTGCACTACATTATGGAACAGAGGGAGTATTAGAAAAGATGAGCATCATGTTAGTAGATGTACAGCTGAGATCAGTTCTGAACTAAGTTTTCTAGAACAAACCAACCTGTACGCTTATTCCAACTTGTGGTCGATATTTGATACATTCACAGTATATGAGGTCCTTTATAATATGGTGAGGTTCAACAGTTCGTCCACACAAGATGACTTTAAAGTGTTCTGGTAGACGAAGGTATAGTATAGATGCATAAACCTGGTGATATTTAAGCTAGTCAGTCATTAAAAAAAACAGATGTAAGTCTTGGATATATATTTTGTGTTTGGAACTTACACGAAGTGAATATCGGAAGCGATTTGCAATATGCATATGATTCAACCTTTTCACTTTCGCGCGTTCTTCTGGTATCTTAGGCGCTCCTGACATCATAATATCCTGCACCACCATGTGACAAAGTTGCCCTTTAGTGAAAATTTGTACAAATGACTCAGAGAAAGGTAAAGCAAGCAGCACTGTTAAAGTCTGAATGAATTACAACTATAGTTCATTTCTATACTGCATGAGAACAGTATATAGGACTACCGGTGGTGATTGTAATCACAAGGGGTTCAGTGATCAACATCAGTGGTTCGATATTTACTGAGCCAATTTCTTCGACGATTGTTAGTCTCGCAGGGGCAATCAGGTGATATACGTAAAAAAAGTAAATATTTTATATATCTTCCAACAACAAAAAGGTAAAAGAATTCTACTACAGCTTCCATGTCTATAAGATTAGAATATATTCGACTTTTCCATCAAATATTTTTCAAGTGTTGCATGAACTAAGTAATGTTTATCCTTAGTTTTGAAGTACTCCCTTTGGGCGAGTGTAAATTGAACTCCCCCAACATCGTATATTTAGGAACGGAGGGAGTACATATAAATAAGGAATACTGAAATTTGAAATCTATGGAGTAGAGTCGCTGAGAGAAACAAATCGCACCTCATCATCAGTTGTAAAGTCAAGCTCCATTTCATCCGCATCATTGAGCCATAATTTGGATACAACAATTTTTGTGCCATGGCATCCCATGTCCTCAAACTGTCAGCATGTGGACCAGAGTAAGTAGGAAGCAATCTTGTACAAACAAACCATTCCAGATATACAGAAGAAAAAAACTGTATAGCTATTGCATTTCATAACCAAATCTTGGTATTCACACGAAATCTAGGTATTCACCATGAAAATATTGCTTTTAGGGTATAACACTAGTAACCATAGAAGTAACCAGTTACTTTCCTCGAAAAAAAGTAACCAGTTACTATCTGAGCACACCGACATACAATCAATTGGTTTTGGACAAATATTTTCAAGAGGAAGTCATGTCAGAATTCCAAAAAAATGATTAACTGGATAAGTAGAGAGAGTAGTAACTTACTTGATTCAATAAATCATCTTCTGTAGAAAATTGAGACCACCTCAGAAGAGTGGACAAATTGGAAGAAAAATGTTTTTCACCATGGTCCATTATCCTCTTGAAATTGCGGGATGAAGGATCAAATTCATAGTCAACCTATAAGAAAAATAGCATTAGTTGTTTAGTACTCTCTCCGTAAACTAATATAAGAGCGTTCAGATCACTATTTTAGTGATCTAAACGCTCTTATAATAGTTTACAGAGGGAGTACGTATCAAGGGTCTGTGTCAGTTAAAATCCCTATATCCACAATTCGACATACTAATTAATCTTCAGATGACATCATTACCAACTAGAAGCTATTATATTGGAAACAAATTTCAGTTTACTCTTGTCCAAATACTAAAAAAAAACATGGTGATGTGGCTGTAGATACTACATTAATAATGTCATAAGTTAACAAGTTTAATAAACTGACCACAGGCACTAATATGTCATTGCAGCCGGTTCCTTTGAGGAATGTGTAAGAGAGCAGCCCAACACTTCGTGTCAATCTGCTGTCATATCAAATGATTAAACTAAAAGGTTACCATGATATAGTAGATAAGTTTGGCTAGCAAGTTAGCAGGCCATCAGCAAAGATGCTCAACACAATGACATTATATGCTAAAAGCACCCCCCCCCTCCCCTGTAGAGCATGCTTGGTTGGTAGCCAAAAATTGGCAACTCCAAGACTTGCCAAATTTGGCATTTTTTGAGAGATTGACGAAGCAAGTCGGTAGCTAACCAATTGTTTGGCCAGCCAGTTTTTGGTAACCATCCAATCATGCTCCTTTATATCTGTTATCTATATTTATTATCTATTCTATCTATCTATAGTGTAAGAATAACTTTGAATAACAACCGTTGGATGAAGCCGATCCGGCAGTAGAGAGGTGGCAAATCTGAGTGTTACTGACCGTTGGATCTTCCCTTTACTACAACAGATTCTGCCACATCTACTATCTAGAAGATTCTATGGTTGGGTTAAGCCCTATGGACATTTTGCACAAAACTTAAAACACACTTCTACTTCATTCTAGACTTCCCTTGTTCAAGGCTATGGATGTACCTTCATAAATCATGTTTATCTTTGCAGATAGAGTAGCTATTGTTGTTATTTTCTATGAAAAATTGCAATATGAGATATCCCAAAAGATGCCTAGACAAGAAGCACTCGATATATTTTACCCGAGTTTTGCATCTTATAATTTATGCATATGCCTCAAAATTTTCATTTGCCCACTATAATGCATGCCGATCTTTGACTGAAATTTGATTATCTGAGCTCTCACGTGCAATGCACGTATAACTTGCTAGTACATTTAGGATGGGAGGTTTAACAAAAAAAATAAGTATAATCAATTTGTTCCGTATTGCATTTTATCATGATAATTAGTGTGTCAGATCAAAGTTCCCATATCTGCTAATGCCAGAAAGTGAATAGGAAAGATAGTGCATTGCTAAAATAGGACAAACCTATTAGCTTTTCTGCAGCTGAATATGATAGTATCTGCCCCAAGCCTCATTGTGCTGGTTTTGAAGCCATTTCCATCTGTAAAAGTAACCACAAGTCAGTGACTATTTAGCAATGGACTAAGCAACGCAGCGAGTTCACAAAAACTATTACATTGTCCAATTGATGAATTCGTGCATTTATTGGAGAATCCGAAGCTCAAACAATGTCGAAGATGCTCAGGACTCATACCGCCTCCATCATCTTGAAAATGGGATTCAAGAAATAAGCTACAGAAAATACTATATAAACATAATATAGCCAGTGCAATTTGATAGTACATATATATCTGTATGCTACCTTGTACCATTAATGAATACTCTCCGACAGGAGAATATTTCATTTTATCTATTTTCACATAGGTTGCCCCATTCTGCACCTACTCCACGTTCCGATGCAAAACAGAAGAATCAAGAAACAAAACAAAGCATGAGAATCATAGATAATGGTGATACTATTAGTGTTCATATATTTGAAACAGAAACCTCATCAACAGCGTTGTCGAGCAGTTCTGCAATAGCTGTAGAAAGAGAGTTAAGCATACATCAATATAGTCAGGATTCCCTAGATAGGAGCATAGACATACAAAAGCAGAAGTGAAGTGCCAGCTTTACAGATATCACTACGACGTACCACCAAATACCCACTTGTGTGACGTAGCATTCGAGTGAAGAAACTTGGGATTAATCCTTAAGCAGTTCTGGCCATCTAATCAAATTGCAAAATTAAATGGTAAGAAGTAAGAACAACCAGAAAATGGAAATAATGTGCATGCAGATGGGGCCATATTGAACCTGTCAGTGCATGTTTTCCTCTATATATTTTTATATTAATACAACCGAGAAAGAGGCTGGGGAAAACACTTTAAACAGAAGAACCTTAATTCATGCATGCATAATAGACTCTGGACACGGCCTCCCAAATTTAGGGATGCCTTATCACCTTATGTAACAGACTATTTGATAGATGGAAGCATCTCTCTATTTTGTGGAATATATCCAACGAAAATAAACCCAACTATAACAATGAAATAAACCGACTGAAGATTGAAGTAAACAACTTGGTAGCCAAGGTAAACTATGAAGGACTCTCATCGGTGGCAGTGCGGGTTGGATGAAGCTCTGCCATATACACAAAAGTGCAGCAAAAAAATCTCACTGGTCAATACTCTTGAGACATGTAACAGAGTAAGGATTATAATTAACTGAACTTTTTAATAACATTAACACAATTCTCAGTTCCATGAAACAGGGAACTGCGTGTGAGCAAGTTTCAGTCCACCAATGGGGAGAGCAGAGTGGACAAGCAGGGTAATCCACCCAACCTGCCATGATGGACGCTCTAAACGGGACAGGCAATGTTTATTGGTGGGACTGTTAAATAAAGTCCTGGGCACGGAAGAGAATAAGAACATACTGTTGATGGAAGCTCGGGCAGCAACCTTGTACTCCCCAGCCTTCCAGAATTGCCGGGGAAAAGGCGCCGCGGTTGAGATGGGAGGGGAACCTAGCAATGCATCTCTCTTGTGACTCTGTTGCACTGTCCTTTGTGAAGATGTAGTAGCACCTTGTTCTGTCATTGACAAGGATGATGCAGCAGCTTGTCCTGTCATTAGCGAGCATTGAGCAGCTTGGTTTTCATGGTTATACCGCATAGCCTCTTCAGCAAAATCACCTGCCGCTACACCTTCGATAAACGATGATGGGGCAGCTTCGACTGCATTTCCAGATTGCATAGCCTCTTCTGCGCAATCAACTGCTGCGACAAAATCCTGCTTTCCAGACTGCATAGCCTCTTCACCGCAATCGCCTGCCACAACACCCTGTCCAGTAAACAATAACGGGCCAGCTTCAGCTGCATGCTCAGACTGCATGGCCTCTTCTGTGCAATCAACTGCTGCAACAAAATCCTGATTTCCACACTGCATAGCTTCTTCGCTGCAATAACCTGCCACAACACCTTGTTCTGTTAACGATGATGGGCCAGATTCAGCTGCATTTTCAGACTGCATGGCCTCTTCTGCGCAATCAACTGCTGCAGAAAAATCCTGATTTCCAGGCTGCATAGCTTCTTCACTGCAATCGCCTGCCGCAACACCTTGCCCTGTAAACGACGAGGGGACAGCTTCAGCTGCATTTTCAGACTGCATGGCCTCTTCTGCACAATCAACTGCTGCAGCAAAATCCTGATTTCCAGGCTGCATAGCCTCTTCATCGCAATCGCCTGCCGCAGCACCTTGCTCTGTAAACGACGATGGGACAGCTTCAGCTGCATTTTCAGAATGCATGACCTCTTCTGCACAATCAACTGCTGCAGCAAAATCCTGATTTCCAGACTGCATAGCCTCTTCACCGCAATCGCCTGCCGCAGCACCTTGTTCTGTAAATAATGATGGGCCAGCTTCATCTGCATTTTCAGAATGCGTGGCCTCTTCTGCGCAATCAACAGCTGCAGCAAAATCCTGATTTCCAGACTGCATAGCCTCTTGCACAACATTACCTGTTACAAGAAACTCTTCCACACCATTAGCAGCAGCAAGAAACTCTTGTCTTGGTACCACTGTCTGAGCTGCCTCGCCTTGTCCATGAGGTGCAACAAACTGTTGTCTATGTGATGTTGTTGCCCCCTGAGCAGCGTCCCCTTTCCCGTGAGCATTCCTATCCTCTTCAACGTCAGCTTCTTCTGTGGTTAAATCAACAATTTCTACTTCCAACTGAGCTGTCCCATGTACATGAGTATCCAGTTCTTCTTTCACTATTGTGGGAGGAAATTCTTCTTTGACTTCTATTGGAGGAAATTCTTCTTTGACTTTTTCTGGAGGAAGTCTTTCTTTGACTGCCACCTCCTCTTCATCAGACAACTCAATCCAGTCCAACAATGCCATTGCTTAACCTGAAGCAACTAGATTGAGTGAGTAACAGGCATGCCAAACGAAGGACAAACACACAATCCAGTTCATCAAACAATTAAATGTAATAAATGGTCATGAAAACAAAGGGCACGCCACATTTCCAATGGTAACTCTATTCTATTATCCTTTTGGTAACAAAAAAACATTGAGTTAGTGGTGATTGGGGCTTCGCCTTGCCGGATGTTATGTGGATTGATCTGTGAAATGTGAGCACATGTGAATCGGCTATACAATTATCAATTTTCCACAGGATTTACAGATTTGGGGATAATCATGTCCGCACGCCGCAGGCGCTGATATTATTTGTGTACGATGGATTTCATATGGTCTTTCGGGGCTTCAATTTTTGAAGCTGCTGCGAGTACGAAGTTATGGAGATCCGTGTGGCCAATCACAGCAAAGTTAGCTACATGTGATCAGCGCGTAATAATTGGGACCGATCTGTACACGTGTCAGCCAATCAGGGCAAAGCTAGCTAAATGCGATCAGCGCGTAATAATCAGTCGCGCTCGTGACGAATAAGACGATGGAGACAGAAAAATCCATTTCAACCCCTCTCACACAGGAACAGAGGAAATCAGCGAGAGCAGAGCAGTAGAGTTCAGTAACAAACAAAAAAAAAACACCCCCAAATCCACCAGCAAAAACAGAAGCCGAGCTCCATGAAACCCTCGAGTTTGGGGAAAAGCAGGAATCGGCGCCCCGCGCTCGCCTAACCTTCCAGAAATGGAAACGAAAAAAATACTGGCACAAATGCTCCTCCACACGACAACGAACAACAGCAATCCGAGAGAAAAGCGGCGGGCTGGACGGGTTCCGATTCATCGTCAATCGCACAGGGAAGAGCGTGGGCCGATTGCTCGCGGCGCGCAGAGGAAACAATCGAGAAAAGGCTAGGGTTCCTCACCCCGAAAAACAAATCAATGCAGGTCCGCGCCGTCGTCCCCGGCCCGCTGAGGCGAGGGGAGGAAGAAGAGCAGCGGCGAGAGGAATTCGGCGGAGGTGGCTTGCTTGCGAAGGCGGAGGAGAGGGTTTTGTTTGGAGGGGCTAGCGGAGAAAACGCAACACACACTCCGCTTGTTGTGGGCTGTGGGGTGGTGGGTGTGGACGGGACTGAGCGTTGATGAATGATTGAAGGGAGGGAGGTAAAAGTGTGTGTGAAGCGGAATAAAAAAGAAGACCAGACCAGGAGTGTATGTAGGAGTAAAAGCGCGAGAACTTTCGTGGAAGCCGCCCGACGGTCATAAAAAATTCAACCTTCTTTTCCGTCCATCCCAGATTTTTGAGCTGTGCATGTCTACCTTGTTTTCTTGGACACGGTACATCATACGTACCCACACTCGTCTCTACGAACGCACTGACACACATTCTATTCCTATGAGCACCTCAAAGAGACTGAGCCGTCACATTATCTTAAGATTGATGAAGTTGTCACAGATACTTCCTCCGTTCCGAATTATTTGTCTTGGATTTGTCTAGATACGGATGTATCTAGCACTAAAATGAGTCTAGATACATCCGTATCTAGACAAATCTAAGACAAGTAATTCGGAACGGAGGGAGTACGTCTTTTACCACAAAGGTATATCGTCAAAAGGGGTAAAATAAATCTAGAAAAATAGGAGCACCGATGTCAAATTTAGGTCTTGAAATTTGATGGTTGAGGATATCATTGTCCTCTTAACCATCCACCTACAAATTTGTTCGCGCCTATGCTATTTTCGTTTTACTCGTCTCAGGCATCTCGACTGATCACGTGAATAGATATCAACACAGACACACAGGGGCTACGTTTGTTCTTAGAGTACGGGAGAGTAAGATAAACATCAAGGCCGCAGCGGGCAATAGTTTCGATACATGACCAATGACATGGACATAAATGTCCATGCGACACCCAAATAGCTTCCCAAGCGATGATGATGATGATGATGATGATGATGATGATGATGATGATGATGATGATGATGATGATAAGAGCATCTCCACTCCTCCCCTCCCCAACACGTCCCTTAAGGTATCTTTTTTATCGTCGGCCCAAAAAAAATCGCCCAGTCACGCCCCAGGAGCCTAAAATTCGCCGGTTTGGACCGAAATTGGCACCGGCGAACACATGTCGAACCGAGCGCGTTGAGGGCGATCGGGGGCGTCGGGGGAAAGAAAAATGGCGCGAAAACAAACCGCGCCAGATCCTCCCTCATGTGGGCCCACTGAGTCAGCGACTGTGCTTCATCGTCCTCATCGCCTCGCCTCGGCTCTCGCGCGATTCAATGTTGTCGCCGATCAGCCTTTCCATTGATGAATGACTGGTGGCATAGTGATGGCGAGCCACCGCCGCGCGTCCCGCCCTTTCCCGCCACGCGTCTACACCTCACGCCCTCTCGCCGCTATAAAAGCCGACCTTCGCCACCGCTCGCCGCACACTCGCCATCTCTTCGCCTCAACGTCGACCATCTCTTCTCCTCACCTTTCTCGCCCAAAAAAAGGTGACCTTCACTGCCGCTCGCCGCACAGTCGCCATCGCGGAGAGGTTTCCCGGCGACGGGGCGGCGGCCAACGGCTTTGCCTGCCGTTGGCTGCACGAGTGGGAAGCTCGCCTACTGCAGGAGGCGAACTACCTGACGCTGCCCAACATGCGCGTACCGGGGTGCATGGCGGCTGAGCGTCGGTAGTGTCCTCGTGCCTCCGCCGCCCTCCGACGCGGAACGCCCCGCCGAGATCGTGGTGATTCGGGTCAACATGCCGGAGTACACGCACCAAGAACCACGGTACGCGGCGGACAACCACGCAATGTGGACTGCGTACTTCCAGCGACGTCACGCCGAGAAGCTGGCGTCTACCAATGGCGAGCCAACACCGAGGGGGCGCCATAACTCGGAGGGCCGCCGCCAATGGTGGGACGCGCCCGAGCGAACTCTCTCCGTGTTGCTCGCGCACATCGAGGGAGTCAACGAGCCACGACTGGAGTACCCAGCGCCGCCCTTCTCTCGCCGCCGCGGAAGCTCTTGGTTGCCGAGGCACATGGACCCATCATCCTCTGGCTCCCGCTCCTCCGGGTTGGCGCCGACGGCACTCGTCCCCGTCAAGCCCGAGCCGCAGGAGATGTCGCTCCGTCGGCGTAGCCGCGGTGGCAACCTCGTCATAAATGAGGGCCGCCGCGTCCCTTCTCCTCCCCGCGGCCACATTCTCCTGGTGAAGCCGAAGAAGGAGCCAGCGACTATGGTGAAGCAGGAGCACGAGGACATGGCCACCGACCTCGAGAGCGGCCTCACCTGGTCACGCACAGACTACGTGGCGCAGGAGATGGAGCGCCAGCGCCCTGCTCTGGATGAAATTGCCGAGCGGCGCCGCGGCCGCGACGAGGGCGGTATCATCGTGCTCTCCGACAACAACGAGGAGGTCACTACGTGGAGCAAGCCATCCCGCAGTGGTGAGCTGATGTCTACTACACAACCTTCTTCTTGTAGACGTTGTTGGGCCTCCAACTGTAGAGGTTTGTAGGACAGTAGCAAATTGCCCTCAAGTGGATGACCTAAGGTTTATCAATCTATGGGAGGCGTAGGATGAAGATGGTCTCTCTTAAACAACCCTGCAACCAAATAACAAAGAGTCTCTTGTGTCCCCAACACACCCAATACAATGGTACACTAGTTCGGCGAAGAGATGGTGATATAAGTGCAATATGGATGGTAGATATAGGTTTTTGTAATCTGAAATTATAAAAACAGCAAGGTAACAAGTAATAAAAGTGAGCGAAAACGGTATTGCAATGCTTTGAAACAAGGCCTAGGGTTCATACTTTCACTAGTGCAAGTTCTCTCAACAATAATAACATAATTAGATCATATAACTATCCCTCAACATGCAACAAAGAGTCACTCCAAAGTCACTAATAGCGGAGAACAAACGAAGAGATTATTGTAGGGTACGAAAGCACCTCAAAGTTATCTTTCGGATCAATCCATTGGGCTATTCCTATAAGTGTCACAAACAGCCCTAGAGTTCGTAGTAAAATAACACCTTAAGACACACATCAACCAAAACCCTAATGTCACCTAGATACTCCAATGTCACCTCAAGTATCCGCGGGTATGATTATACGATATGCATCACACAATCTCAGATTCATCTATTCAAACCAACACAAAGAACTTCAAAGAGTGCCCCAAAGTTTCTACCGAAGAGTCAAGACGAAAATGTGTGCCAACCCCTATGCATAAGTTCACAAGGTTACCGAACCCATAAGTTGATCACCAACATACGTCAAGTAGATCACGTGAATATCCCATTGTCACCACATGTAAGCACATGCAAGACATACATCAAGTGTTCTCAAATCCTTAAAGACTCAATCCGATAAGACAACTTCAAAGGAAAAACTCAATTCATCATAAGGAGATAGAGGGGGAGAAACATCATAAGATCCAACTATAATAGCAAAGCTCGCGGTACATCAAGATCGTGCCATATCAAGAACACGAGAGAGAGAGAGAGAGAGAGAGAGAGAGAGAGAGATCAAACACATAGCTACTGGTACATACCCTCAACCCCGAGGGTGAACTACTCCCTCCTCGCCATGGAGAGCGCCGGGATGATGAAGATGACCACCAGTGATGGATCCCCCCTTCGGCAGGGTGTTGGAACAGGGTCCCGATTGGTTTTTGGTGGCTACACAGGCTTGTGGCGGCGGAACTCCCGATCTAGGTTATGTTCTGGAGGTTTGGGGATTTATAGGAGAGGTTGGCGTCGAGAACAAGTCAGGGGGGGCCCACGGAGAGTCCATGAGGCACAGGGGCGTGCCCCAGGGGGGTGGGGGCGCCCTCCACCCTCGTGGGCCCCACGGGACTCCCCTCCGATAACTTTTCATTTCAGTATTTTTTATGTTTTCCAAAAAAATCTCTGTTGATTTTCAGCGCATTCCGAGAACTTTTGTTTCTGCACAAAAAACAACACCACGGTAGTTCTGCTGAATATAG